GTATTGTGATATAAACTGATCATCTGATAGTGGACCAGTTTGTTTCCTTAACGAACCCTCCAGATCAGCGGGCCATCCGCTTCCTCCAGCTGGAGAGACTGTACCATGAGAGAGTGCTGTCCAACATCGCCGCCCTGCAGGATCAATGGGGTAATGCACATTACACTTTACTCAGACTGTGTATATATTATAGCCATTGTTATAGTATCTCTCTCTCTCTCTCTCTCGTTCACTCTCTCTCTCTCTCTCAGAGAGCAGATGGAGGCTGGTTGGTCAGGGTCAGAGCTCCAGTGTTTCTGACAGTGACCTGGATATAGAACATTTGGAGACGCTGAGACACATCTGCAGAACACACACACAGTGAGTACACACACCCACCCACACACACACACACACACACACAGTGAGTACACACACCCACCCACACACACCCACACCCACACACACACACACACACACAAGACATTTTTACATATATAGTTATTTTCATATTTACATACATAATATGTATAGGGCGTATTGTGATATATAGATACATACATATATATAAAATGCATAAGAGACATTATTATGTATATTGATGTTTACGTATATAATATGTATGGGGCATATTATTGTTACATATAGACACTTACATATATATCACACATACGAGACATTATTACATGTTGATACTTATATATAACGCATATGAAATGTTAGTGCATATATACATGTTTACATTAAAAATATATATAGGACATCTTGTTACGTCTAGATGTCTCTATATCACTGCTGTTGGAACAGAACCTCATATCTCCATTTTTGTCACTTTTCAGTTTTTAACAAAATTTGTCATTGTTCAGTTTAAACGGCCCAAAATTATCTGGAAAAAATTCTGGTTCCACTGACTTACATTAAAAGTAAAGTATGTTTTTTGCTTCTCCTGTAAAGTTACCATTTTGGAGATTTTGTTCCAACAACAGCGATATACATAATACATATGGGACATTATTATATTAGATACTAACATACATCACACATACAGTGTAACAGGCAGTGTAGTTGTCGTTTTCAACTGATGTAAAAGATACAAGGTTTCGTTCCAACAGCGACAATATATATATTACATATAGACGAAGGGAGGAACTGACACTGTAATAAAAACACACACAGCCTCATTAGCTCAGTGACGCAGATCAGACTGGCTGACAGCTGTAGCTCTGAGCTGCTGAAGTTCAGACTGTAATCGCTCTAAACACCGAACACTTACACTACACTGAATGTACATAATAATATCATTAATTATGGAATTATGGAATTACTTATATGTAGATTTTTCTTTTTCTTCTGATGTAAAAAATGACAAAAAAGCAAAAATGTAAGGGGATCTTTCTCAAAGCGTGTCCATAAATATTTGAATGAATGAAATTATGCAAATAATCAGATTTGTAATTGTTTTGTCTTTCTGTACAGACAATAACTTTACATCAGATTCAGAGCACAACAGATTATCTCTTCCTCTACTCACACACGGATTGAAAGTGTAGAATCTGCACTTTTCACACTATTTCTCCACTCATTTCACTGAACTATGACTCTGACATAATTAATATAAATGATATAAATATAATATTATAAATAACGTTTTATGTAATGATTTTTTGTCACCAGCAACTTCTAAGGGAGATGAACTGTACTGACTCCTGTCAGAGCAGACTCTTCTGTGAGTGAATATACAGCGGTGCTGGTATCTGTACATTATCTCGGTGTTTGTTTGGGTTTTTAAGCACTTAAAACCAGTTTAATTGACGTTTCCCCAAATGTTTAGCTGAACTGTTTACTGAGGTGCTTCACATGCAGTGTTCTCGGAAGCTTGAGCTCGTAAATTATTTTAACGGATGAGTAAATGTTTAACATCCGCAGCCTCCTGAGTTTAATCTGTAGTGGAGTTAAAGCGACACTTCAGCAAAATATGAAACTTTCGCAGCCCCCACCCCCGAATGTAGTCGGACTGGACGTGTTAGTGTCTGAAGTTTGCTTCCTTAGTTTTAGTTCTGAAGCTACGAGGCTAACAGAGCTAACAAGTAATGCAGTTAATACCCCAACAATTAGCATGATGCTAACTGCATGCCTAATTCATCAGACACTCACCTGAAACGTTAGTCGAATTTTCTGAGGCTTTCTTTTTGAAAAATTCTGTTCCACCTTAAATGGTGCACCACTTACGTTAAGGCACCTAAGGCTCTTATTTGCATTTTCCGTTCCACCTTAAATGGTGAAGCAGTTACATTCTGGCACCTCAGACTTCATATTCTAATTTCCCGTTCCACCTTAAATGGTGCACCAGCTACGTTAAGGCACCTAAGGCTTCTTATTCTAATTCTCCGTTCTACCTTAAATGGTGCACGAGTTATGTTAAGGCACCTAAGGCTTCTTATTCTAATTTCCCGTTCCACCTTAAATGCTGCACCAGTTACGTCAAGGCACCCAAGTCTTCTTATTCTAATTTCCCGTTCCACCTTAAATGCTGCACCAGTTACGTTAAGGTACCTAAGGCTTCTTATTCTAATTCTCCGTTCCACCTTAAATGGTGCACCAGTTACATTAAGGCACCTAAGGCTTCTTATTCTATTTTTCCATTCCACCTTAAATGGTGCACCTGTTACGTTCCACCTTAAATGGTGAAGCAGTTACCTTCTGACACGCAAGTCTTCTAATTCTCCGTTCCACCTTAAATGGTGCACCTGTTACCTTAAGACACCTAAGGATTCTTATTCTAATTTCCCGTTCCACCTTAAATGGTGGACCAGTTACGTTAAGGCACCTAAGGCTTCTATTCTGATTCTCCGTTCCACCTTAAATGGTGGACCAGATACATTAAGGCACCTAAGGCTTCTTATTCTAATTTCCCGTTCCACCTTAAATGGTGGACCAGTTACGTTAAGGCACCTAAGGCTTCTTATTCTGATTCTCCGTTCCACCTTAAATGGTGGACCAGATACATTAAGGCACCTAAGGCTTCTTATTCTAATTCTCCGTTCCACCTTAAATGGTGGACCAAATACATTAAGGCACCTAAGGGTTCTTATTCTATTTTTCCGTTCCACCTTAAATGGTGCGCCTGTTAGCTACATTTTAGCTACATTAGCCTTGCAGCTCCAGCGTAAAGCTAAAGAAGTGAACCCCAGACGCCGAACTCTGACCCTGACCCTCCGTTCAGGTGAAGCTGAGGGGGAAACCGGGGAAAATGTCATTTTTTGCTGAACTGGCGCTTTAATGCTGAGTGATTGTTTACACTCTCTGCCTCCTCCACACCTGCGTTCCTCCGGAGTTCCTCCTGAGTTCCTCCTCCTGTGTTAATTTTAGTGTAAGCGAGCGCGTCGCAGTTTAAACATGTGGCCCGTCGCTGCACTTCGGGCAATTTGAGCCCGGCGCTACGGTTTCAGCGGGGAAATGTGCCGCGCTAATATTAGATCCCCGCTGAGCGCCGGCAGCGCCGCGAACCCACTAACCGTTTACACGCTCAGACAGAACAACACTCCAGCTTCTGCCTCACCTGCTTCTGATGGACACTGTGCTGTTTTCTCCTGTTTTACAGACCGAGGCGGAGCGCCGAGAGGGTGAGTCGGTCACGCTGCTGCTTTTTATGGAAGCCCATTCACTTAAAATAAATCAGCCAGCGTCTCATCATTACTGTTTTCATTAATAAGTCAATTACTGAGCCGTTATTTTCAGAAACATTCTCATTAGTTTGAGATGCTAAGTCATTATTTTGATAAGCATTCTTGAACATTTCTCAAAATAATGAGAAAGCATTTCAAAATCGCAAGAAGGTATCTCAAAATAATGACTTAGTATCTCAAAATAATGACTTAGTATCTCAAAATAATCTCAAAATATTGAGAAAACAACTCAAAATAATGAAATATTTTCTCAAAATAACGAGAAAGCATTTCAAAATAATGAGATAATATCAAAATAATGACAACATCTCAAAATAATAAGAAAGCATCTCAAAATAATGAGATAGTGTCTTATGGTGTAGCAATTCAGCTAATCATGAAAAACTGAGGTGCTGTTTTTTTTTATTTGAAGTGGTGAAAATGGGCTTCCATAGTTTTTACATCTGTATGAGAGCAAATAAAGATAAGAACTGTGCAAAAGTCAGAACAGCCAAAGCAGCCTTTAAAGAGGAACCACTGATTTTTCAACATTCCTGTGTAATTCAACAGTTAATCTGTAATCAGAGCGGTTCAGAGCGGTTTGGTGTGAAACGCTCTGTTCTAGATAAACTTACCGAGTCAGAACGGTTCACAGTGGTGGTGATAGGAACCAGACGTCCACCTCTAAAAGCTCCCTCACAGAAAGTTCCTGCATGACATGGTTATGAATTCACTGCCTGATGACTGAGACACTGTTTTATGATAGTTTTTACCTTAAAATTCATTCATGGTAAAATCCCCAAATTTATTATTTCAGATTTTCCACTATTTTCCATCATCAACATTCCATATAAACTCAGAAGACTCGTGTAGGTTCACTGGTGGTTCTGGATAGGAAATAAAATGTCTATATTTGTGTTGTAGTCATGGCGACCCCTGGTTCCTATCACCACCACTGTAAAGACATCTGAACCATTTCACACCAAACCACTCTGAATCACTCTGTTATGGGGGAATTTAGAAATCTGGTGGAATCCCCCTTTAACAGAAATTTAGTATCTCAGCATGGCATAACACAAACAGCTAACTCTAATCTCAGCTGTGTGAGTCAGTGAGTCACTCTTTCCCTTTATTCCAGCTTCTATTCTTTTCAGGAGACTCACTTTCAGTTCCTCAAAGAATCTGCAGACACAGCTCCAAAGTTCAGCCTTAGAAGCTGGTTGATGATTTTCTGAAGTTTCAGAAAATGTCAGATTCATGTTGTGTTCTTAAAGCGCAGAACTGTTCTCACCTCTGTGCTCTTGAGTGTCTGTAGATTCTGTTCTTACCCAAGAACAAACCCCACATAAGAAACATTGGTGAGTCAGAAGTGGGTTTAAGAAGGAATTTCTTCTTAAGAACAGTTGGTGAATGAGGCCCAGTGTCTTTAGGAGAAAAAAGTTTTGGTGAATTTATTATGAAATTCTGGTGCACTGAGTCTAAAATATAGAAGCAACTGCTGTGGAATTACTTGTCATTGAGTTTAACAGCTCTGCGAATCCAGTGCGGTCCTGATAATGTAGGCATTGTGATTTATTTCTTAGAGGTCTGCTGCTCATCATAGTGAGGTGAAATAGTCAGTCTGTACAAAATCTGCTTTCGAGACCCCACATTTATAGAGGCTGATCTTATGGTGTCTACTTGACACTTCACCTCACCGCATCCTGTTAATTTCACTGAAGAGCTCTGCTGTGTTGCATGGTGCATCATGGTTTGTGGTGCGACTAAATTTGCCTCACTGCGCAGCGAGATTATGCAAATGAATGCAGCCGCTGCACTGCGTTCAGCCAATCAGGTAACGATAGACTGGCCTTCATCACGAAGGGCAAACGCAGCTTTCTCCGAGAGCAGAGAAACAACGGCTCTCTTCTCTCGGTCAGTGACAGTCAGCATAATAATGAAAATATCTGGTTTATACAGAACTATTAACGGTGGAGATTTGGACGAAAGACGTTCGATTGGATGAAGCTGGAAGGCGATCTATAAACCATACGGAGCTCATAGGATACTTGCTAAGGTAGCTAGTTTGCTAGTAAGATTGAGAGCGCTAACTTTCTAGCTTGTGTGGATGACTATAATAATATAATATAATAATAATAATAATAATAATAATAATAATAATGATAATAAAATAATACTCAGGAGATCCTTTGTCCCTAGAGCCATTAGGCTCTTCAACTCTTCCCACTGGGGCCAGAGAGAGAGGGAAGATGAAAGATGAGGCCTGAATCTCTTATGCTAAATCATAGGTTTATTTTATCCATCTGCACATATTGTCATTATATACTGTTACCTGTGCCTCCTTGTACTTTCTTTACTGCACTGCCTTTTTTATCTCAGGATAGATCTTATTGCATATTTTTGTATATTCGTAGTTGTATATATGCTTGTAGATTTGTTTTTTTGTATATATTCCTGCCTCTGTGTGACGACTACTGGCTGCTACATTATCTATCGATCTATCTATCTATCTAAAAGCATACAAATTATACATCTATATTTCAGTCTCATTGTAAGGTTCTGTGCAACAGCAAATAGCGTATTAGATTGTTTAGTACCTCAAATATGCTTGGTACTGCTCTTTTTCCGACATAGAAATTCCTGCCTGCGGTGAGCAAAGAGGTTCGGTGTGGCGTAATGTTGCGAGAAAGAGCGCAAATGGACACATACCCTAAAAACATGTCGCTGCTATTTGAACAAAACCTCACATGTCCACTTTTGTCATTTTGTAAATTCTTAAAAATGCCCATGGCCTTTAAACAAAGTGCCAAAATTTCATGACAAATTGACCAACAGAAATGCTCCAAAATTACTTGAAACAAGGTAATATTGTTTATATTCTTCTGTTACCACATGGTGCTTGGACCCCGAGGATTGCCACTTGCTATATTAAAAGCTGTTTAGCTCTCGTAGTGTTTACAGTCAGAACCTGACGTGTTCTACATCAGTTTCAAGCGAGAACTGAATAGAAGCTGGTTGTCTTGGTGACTTAATGAAGATTAACCCATTCCTCACCCTCTTTAGTAGAGGGAGAGGTTCTGTTTATGGTGACGAGTTTTATGTAGAGCCATATACATGCTTCTCTGTATATATAGAGAACTATTTAAATGGTTCTCTGCATGGTGAATTGGTTCTTCAGATTGATGGAGAATGTGTTGTGTATGGGTCTATATAGAACCTTTCTGAAAATGGTTCTTTGTAGCACCAAAAAGGGTTCTTCTACTGTTACCAGCTTGACATCTTAGCCCTTTTTGGTGCTATACAGAACCATATACAACACAATCTGAAGAACCATCCCACCACCAGAACATTTAAGCATATATAGAACTTGAGGGGGTCTCTGACTTTTGCACAGTGCTGTAATTAGCGTTTTTGTGTCGTCTGTTTGTGTCGTTTGTGTCGTTTGTGTCGTTCGTGTCGTTTGCGGTGAGATAAGAGCTTTTAGGCTTTAAGGGGTTAAAATCTCTCTCTGTGCCGTCAGTGTGAGCTGGTGGTTAAAGTCCAGCGGAACAGAGTGATCAGCGAGAGCGCCGGAGAGAACCACAGCGCGTCCGAGCGTCTATGCGGCTCAGGTGAGTCTGTTTACCTGAAACACCTCAAATAAGCCTGAAGCTGTAGGAGGTCCGAGGTCACACCTGCACAGCGGTCACTGTTGTGTCTTTGTGCTTTTATAGTCTCTGATCTGAGGCGCAGCTGCCCTGTCAGTCAGGTTAGCGTCAACCTTTACAGTCTGGACTTCTGACTGTGGGATTCCTGTACATCTCATTTACATTACATACATATTCATATGTATTTGCATAATTATATAAATGTTTGATATCCTTTCTGCATGGGCAGGTTTGAGTCCACATTTCTGATTTCTTCTGTATGTTGAGATCTGTAACTGTTTCTCCACTATAATTTATATAATAATTTATATAACAAAGCCGCGTGATTCGGTTATCACTGCTGATAATTATGATCATAACTCAGTTGTACTGAGATGAATCCTCTTCTGGGTCTATTAGTAAATTTCTGTTTGCCTTATTCCTGAAAACTGGCTATCACGGCTAACTTTACTGCAGCTCACATAGCTAACGTGGCTAATTAGCTGCAGTGATCTAACATTAGCTTCCACTCTCCTTACCAATACTGAAGCTAACGTAGCTAACTTGGCTAATTAGCGGCGGTGGTCTACCATTAGCGTCCACTCTCTTTACCAATACTGCAGCTAACATAGCTAATGTCGCTAATTAGCTGCAGTGATCTAACATTAGCGTCCACTCTCTTTACCAATACTGAAGCTAACATAGCTAACTTGGCTAATTAGCGGCGGTGGTCTACCATTAGCGTCCACTCTCTTTACCAATACTGCAGCTAACATAGCTAATGTCGCTAATTAGCTGCAGTGATCTAACATTAGCGTCCACTCTCTTTACCAATACTGAAGCTAACGTAGCTAACTTGGCTAATTAGCAGTGGTGGTCTACCATTAGCGTCCACTCTCTTTACCAATACTGAAGCTAACGTAGCTAACTTGGCTAATTAGCGGTGGTGGTCTACCATTAGCGTCCACTCTCTTTACCAATACTGAAGCTAACGTAGCTAACTTGGCTAGTTAGCGGTGGTTGTCTACCATTAGCTTCCACTCTCTTTACCAATACTGCAGCTAACATAGCTAACGTGGCTAATTAGCGGTGGTGGTCTACCATTAGCGTCCACTCTCTTTACCAATACTGAAGCTAACGTAGCTAACTTGGCTAGTTAGCGGTGGTTGTCTACCATTAGCGTCCACTCTCTTTACCAATACTGAAGCTAACGTAGCTAACTTGGCTAGTTAGCGGTGGTTGTCTACCATTAGCTTCCACTCTCTTTACCAATACTGCAGCTAACGTAGCTAACGTGGCTAATTAGCGGTGGTGGTCTACCATTAGCGTCCACTCTGTCTGACCTACATACCAACACTGAAGCTAACATCGCTAACTTGACTGATTAAAAAAAGACGGTTCTTGAGGGGTTCTTTAATAAAGGATGTATATAGAACTCATGAACACTCAAAGAACCATTTGCACGTTTAAAGGGTTCTTTGCATGGTGAAATGGTTCCTCAGAGTGAGGGAGAGTTGGTTGCATATGGTTCTGTATACAAAATTTTTGACAAGGGTTCTATTTAGCACCAGAAAGGGTTCTGGTATTGTATACAAGATTGACATTGCAACAACAGCAGAACCCTTTCTGGTGCTATATAAAACTATATACAACGCAGTTCCAGGTTCAGTCTCAGCACTAAGGCCTGTTTCGGCTCTGATGGTGAAGTGTAGAGTTTGTGTCCACCGTCCTCTCCAGCTGCCAGAAATAGCCGGGGCAAGTGGACAAGGGCAGCAGCACATCTTCAGTTACACCGCTGCTCCTTACTCTCTGGACAGCTGTACTCCACAGGAGTTTGGGGACACTTAGATTTTTACACATAAACAAATAAACATGTTTTCTTACTGTTTTTCAGTAACCGTCCACATTAAAGCCTTAATCAGGCTTAGTCAGAGCAAAACATCACACGTACAAATATGTGTGCTAATATTAGTGACAGTGCTGTCTTGTGAGTGAAGCCAAAAGCCACGCCCACTTTATCTCCTGGCTGTGATGTCAGCACTCGAACCTTTCAGGTGTTTAAACCTTTGGGTCGAAAGAGTTTACTTTTAACAGACGTGAACCATTAAAAAATGTAACACTTTAAAAAAATTGAAACACTTCTAAAATTTCACTTTTAAAAGATTTTGATATAATATTTTAACACTGTTGAAGTTCAGATCCCCCCACCCATTCAGTCTACAGCAGTTTAGCTCCACCATTCAGTCTACAGCAGTTTAGCTCCACCATTCAGTCTACAGCAGTTTAGCTCCACCATTCAGTCTACAGCAGTTTAGCTCCACCATTCAGCTACAGCAGTTTAGCTCCACCATTCAGCTACAGCAGTTTAGCTCCACCATTCAGTCTACAGCAGTTTAGCTCCACCATTCAGCTACAGCAGTTTAGCTCCACCATTCAGTCTACAGCAGTTTAGCTCCACCATTCAGCTACAGCAGTTTAGCTCCACCATTCAGTCTACAGCAGTTTAGCCCCACCATTCAGCTACAGCAGTTTAGCTCCACCATTCAGCTACAGCAGTTTAGCTCCACCATTCAGCTACAGCAGTTTAGCTCCACCCATTCAGTCTACAGCAGTTTAGCCACACCCATTTAGCTACAGCAGTTTAGCCACACCCATTCAGCTACAGCAGTTTAGCCACACCCATTCAGCTACAGCAGTTTAGCCCCACCATTCAGTCTACAGCAGTTTAGCTCCACCATTCAGTCTACAGCAGTTTAGCCCCACCGTTCAGTCTACAGCAGTTTAGCCCCACCATTCAGTCTACAGCAGTTTAGCCCCACCGTTCAGTCTACAGCAGTTTAGCCCCACCGTTCAGTCTACAGCAGTTTAGCCCCACCGTTCAGTCTACAGCAGTTTAGCCCCACCGTTCAGTCTACAGCAGTTTAGCTCCACCGTTCAGTCTACAGCAGTTTAGCTCCACCGTTCAGCTACAGCAGTTTAGCTCCACCGTTCAGCTACAGCAGTTTAGCTCCACCATTCAGTCTACAGCAGTTTAGCCCCACCATTCAGCTACAGCAGTTTAGCTCCACCATTCAGCTACAGCAGTTTAGCTCCACCCATTCAGTCTACAGCAGTTTAGCCACACCCATTTAGCTACAGCAGTTTAGCCACACCCATTTAGCTACAGCAGTTTAGCCACACCCATTCAGCTACAGCAGTTTAGCCACACCCATTCAGCTACAGCAGTTTAGCTCCACCGTTCAGTCTACAGCAGTTTAGCTCCACCGTTCAGTCTACAGCAGTTTAGCTCCACCGTTCAGTCTACAGCAGTTTAGCCCCACCGTTCAGCTACAGCAGTTTAGCTCCACCATTCAGCTACAGCAGTTTAGCCACACCCATTCAGTCTACAGCAGTTTAGCCACACCCATTTAGCTACAGCAGTTTAGCCACACCCATTTAGCTACAGCAGTTTAGCCACACCCATTCAGCTACAGCAGTTTAGCTCCACCGTTCAGTCTACAGCAGTTTAGCTCCACCGTTCAGTCTACAGCAGTTTAGCTCCACCGTTCAGTCTACAGCAGTTTAGCTCCACCATTCAGCTACAGCAGTTTAGCTCCACCATTCAGCTACAGCAGTTTAGCCCCACCCATTCAGCTACAGCAGTTTAGCTCCACCGTTCAGTCTACAGCAGTTTAGCTCCACCGTTCAGTCTACAGCAGTTTAGCCCCACCCATTCAGCTACAGCAGTTTAGCTCCACCGTTCAGTCTACAGCAGTTTAGCTCCACCATTCAGCTACAGCAGTTTAGCCCCACCATTCAGCTACAGCAGTTTAGCCCCGTTCATATTCCACTGGAAGGCGAAGTTCCCGTCTGAGCTGCAGTGTTAAAGGGCTGATCTGAGCTGCAGTGTTAAAGGGCTGATCTGAGCTGCAGTGTTAAAGGGCTGATCTGAGCTGCAGTGTTAAAGGGCTGTAAAGTCTTTATCTGCTGACTGACTGAAAACTCAGTCAGTCTAATTGAGTCACGTGCTAAATGTGGCTAAAGGCTAAATGTTAGCAGTTAGCATGTTAGCCTGAGGGGTCTTGGGTTCGTTAGTGAACAGCTGAGCTGCCAGTGACCCCATCATACACTGCGAGTCAATCCCCACCCCCGCCCCCGGGCAGGCGCGCAGGGTCTCTGAGAATCTGCTGTATGTGTTATTGATGAGCGTCAGCGAGTTATCGGGTTACTGAACACGGCACTCAGCGTTCTGTTACACCGCCGGGCTCACTTTCACTCTCTCACCACTCTCTCCCTCTGCACACCCCCCACCTGTCACACCTGTCTCTCTATCTCTCTCTCTCTCTATCTCTCTTTCTCTCTCTCACTCTCTCTCACCACTCTTTCCCTCTGCACACCCCACACCTGTCACACCTGTCTCTCTCTCTCTCTCTCTCTCTCTCTCTCTCTCTCTCTCTATCTCTCTCTCTCTCTCTCACTCTCTCTCCCTCTGCACACCCCCCACCTGTCACACCTGTCTCTCTCTCTCTCTTTCTCTCTCTCTCTCTCTCTCTCTCTCACTCTTTTTCTCTGTCTCTCTCTCCATGTATATATCTCTCTCTCTCCCTCTCTCTCTCCGCTCAGATCAGAGGTAACAACAGTGGACGAGTCGTACATTATTGATCAGCCTTTAGAGAACAGGCACACAGGATTACAGGATCAATACTGACTAATCACCCAGTGATCAGCTTGGCTACAGTCACAGACCCAGTATGAAGTATCTCTCTCTCTCTCTCTCTCTCTCTCTCTCTCTCTCTCTCTCTCTCTCCGCAGCTGAAACAGAGAAGCTGATGGACGAGCAGAAGAGACGGGATGATTTCTCTGAAGAGCGCCACAGATCCCCTGCCAGTCAGCAGGGGGAGACAGACTCACATTTCCCCGATTCCTCTCTCAGCCCTTCCTCCTCTTCCGACCCGGCCACGCCCTCTTTTACCGTGACGGACAGCCCCCGGCTGAGCGGAGGAGGGGAGGAGGAGGCCGAGAGTCCAGCAGATACGCACACGGTGGCCAAAGTGACCGACGCGCTGCGGACTGGAGGGCCCGGAAAGGAGATGGAGGGAGGAGGGGAGCCTCTGGACACCGGGCAGGACCTGGGACCGGACCGGACGGAAGTAGCAGAGCCAGTGGAGAAGGGAGGAGGAGAGGAGGAGGTGGAGGAGGCGGTGGAGGCTCTGGAGCTGGAGGCTGGAGGAGAACACCAGGAGCCGCTGGATCTGGAGGTTCCTGAGCTGAGAGCAGAGGATGAGCTGGAGGAGGAGGGACACGGCGTGGAGACGCTGGAGGTGGAGAAAACGGACACGCTGGACGACCTGGCCAAACGCATCCAGGTGGAGGAGGTGAGCGGATCTACAAACAGCTGACACTCACATAAACAGCCATTCAGAGGCTTAGAGTCACTCGCCTGAGATAAATATTACAAACTACGCACTACAAAGTATTTTTAGATGTTTCAATGTGGTTTTATTTTGGGAACAGGAAGTTGTTCAGTAATATATTGTGATTATTAGGGGTGTAACGATTCACAACATTCACAAAAATTTTGATTTGGGAACATTTGATACTCAATGTTTTTGATACAGAAAAAATAAAGAATGGCTGAAAATATGTTTTATGTTAAAGTTAATATGTTAATATTTCTGTTTTCATTTATTAGCACATCCAGCATAATCCAAATAACATGTTATTATGCTAGTTATGATTTAATGAGACAATTTGATGCAATACAATACACCACTGTACACTTTGATACAATATAATACATTTTAATACAATATAATACATTTTAATACAATATAATGCGCTTTGATACACTTTGATGCAGTATTGATAGAATATTGATTGTGTCTCCAGTATGAGACAGTTTGATAAGTTGTATTCTTACATCTCATCAGTTCTGTTTTTACAGCCTGTTTTGCCGCCTTATTGAATATGAGTGATTCTGGATGTTATTATTGTTATGATTTTGTTCTCTGTGCTGCTCGGGTCGTGTTGTGTTGGTGTTTAACTCTCGCCCACTGGTTTGTCAGGGTTGGCGAGTATCAGCTGTAGAACTGTTTACAATGCTTTGCGTAAATTACAGAATGTAATCAGGTTTACCCCACCCCCCCCACCCCAAACGTAGCCAATCAAGGCGTGTTTGGTGTCTGAAGTTTGCTTCTTTAGTTTTAGCACTGAAGCTGTGAGGCTAATGGAGGCTGATGGAGCCAACAAGTAATGGAGCTCCTGTACACCAATTAGCATCATGCTAAATCGTCTCACTCTCAGCTCAGAGTGTGTGGAGCTGTTCAGTGTCTCTGATAGTCGTGATTCTGTGGTTTCTGTGTGACTCACTGTCATCTGTAAACATGGGCTAAAGTACATTAGCGTAGCTAAACCCAGCAGCACATCAAGAAGCCTGAATTCTTTCCATGCAGTTAGCGTGATGCTAAATTGACGGTTATAAAAACTAACTAAGATGCTGAATGTGGCAGAAGGCCATGAGCGCTTAGCGTGCTAGCATCAGCGGCTTTGGGTTGTTCAGAGGTCCCACGAGGTCACAGGAGCTCTTTTAGATTCAACAGTTAAACACAAAAGCTGAAGTTCATCGTGTGTACAGCCATGTGCTAAAGTTAGCGCGCCCCCGTTCGAATTCCACGTTTTTGTTGGTTTTCTAAGTGAAAATTAGTGAACACGTCCTCTGCAAGGATTTTTCCAGCTGAAATTTAAGGCAAAATTTGCGTTTATTTGTTCAACATATATAATATAATATAAAACAGGCCACATTTTATGTTTTATTTTTTCTAATATGCAAAATTCAGCAAACGGAGGATGTATAACTTATTTACACTGTAGATTTACACTCTAGTCTGAGCGGGGCGCGCTAACTTTAGCACACGGCTGTATGTGTGATGTAACGATGACCGTTTGGGTCTGAATGAATGGAGCTCCAGTGGAATGTGCGGCCGGCTGATCTCCTGCTGTAACAATAAGAGCTTTCAGCAGGCTGAGCGTTAGCCGGGTACTCGCTGCTGTTGTGCTCTGTTGCCAAAATGCTAATCATGTGACTCAACATTCTTAAGCAGCAGAAACTCAAAGGGGTCCAATCATGCTCTCAACCCCCCCCCATGACCCCGAGTGACCTGCCACGTACACAGGAACATACAAGGAGTTAGATCTTCTTTGTAATTCACACTAAATGGCCAAAAGTATGTGGACACTGCTCCTAATGGTTGAGTTCAGGTGTGCCAGCCACGCCCATTGCTAACAGGTGTATAAAAGTAAAGCACATAGCTTTGTAGTCTCAATAGACAAACACTGGCAGTAGAGGGTCGTACTGAAGAGCTCAGTGACTTTAAACATGGCACTATCATAGGATGCTGCCTCTGCCACAAGTCAGTTTGTGAAATTTGTGCCCTGCTCGAGCTGCCCCAGACAACTGTCAGCAACTGCGTATCCCACATATGTCATATATTTATACAACAGTTCCGGCCACGCAAGCCGATTGGTTGAGAAGCGTTCTGTTTTTTCACAAACACTCTATCACTCCGCTGAGACGCCGTTGCTAAGCAACAACTCTGACAGCTGTAGGAGACGCTCGAGCCATTTGAACGTTTTTACTTCTTACTTTGCCACAAACAGAAAACGGACACTTTTAAGATCACATTTGACCGACAGCCGATTTGGTCAGACTCTGAAGATGAGACGACACTAAATTCCCAAACTGTCATCACCACTGAGCAGCTTTTCAGTCGGCAGCTGAGACAGAAGAACAGCTAAACAACCTGGAATCAGCCAGAAATGAACCCAACACCATTCGCCAAACGTGGGGTTGTGTATTCTAGGATATACAGTACTGCGCCCTGTGATGTGTAAACCTGTTTATCAGAGCAGGGAAAGTTTATTTGCTTAAAAACAAAAACATTAACATGAGAATAAACACAAATAAACTGCTGCTGAATGAACTGTGATATGCTGGAGAGCAGAGAGAAGTCTAGAACCAAACCTGAGTTCTTCTGACCTACAGATTCATAACTTTACTGACACTTCTGCACAGCACTGTGTGCATATACACAAACAAAGGACTCACACACCCTGTAGTAAAAGTTACACTACGTTAGCAGAAGGTGTTTCAGGTGAAAGTCCATGCTGACAGACTCCAGCGGTAAACACTGTCTGAGTGGACTGGAGCTCCTGCGCTGGACTGCGGCCTCACATACGACCCAAAGCCCAGCTGTATGCTGGTCTGATAGAACCCGTGATTGTAGCTCAGTCACGGCTGGGACGCTGTCATCTTTGTCATATTTTTCATTTTATAATGCGGCAAATGTTTTCAGTGGTGACAGGTCTGGACTGCAGGCAGGTCATTTTAGCACCCGGACTCTTTTAATATGGAGCAATGCTGCTGTAATACATGCAAAGATCACGGCCAGCAAATACTGGTTTTTGGCCTTGTCCCTTTCATACAGAGATTTCTCCAGATTCTCTGAGTCTTTTAATGTTATTATGTACCGTAGATGATGAAAAGCAGAAGTTCTTTGCTGTTTTTATAGAAACGTTATTCTTGAATTGTTGCACTATTTGCTCAACTTTACCAGTCTTTCCAACTTTTTTGGAATGTGTTGTTGGCATCAAATTCAAAATTGGCACATATTTTTTAAAAAAAATTGATATGTTGTCCTTGTCCTATTTTCAATGAAATATAGGGTTTAAATGATTTACACATCATTATGTTCTGTTTTTATTTACATTTTGCACAGCGTCCCAACTTTTTCTGGAAATGGGGTTGGATTATAAACTCACTGCTGGATCAGAAACATGACAGTTAAAGATTTTCCTGATATTTTAACCAAAATAATTTCCTTTTTTCGGGTTACATGAATGCGCTGATTCATCAAAGCAGCCACAGATGCTAATGTGGAGCTGTGATTGGTCAGGATGATCACTGTAAACAAACACTGTGATTGGCTAGAGGGCTCACTTGCATGTTCATCTGTGGTATCAGTTAGGATTGGGCTGATAGATGATCGTTGACGGCTAACAGATACAACCCGCCCCGCCCAAACACAGCAACACCTGTGGTTCAGCTTTAAAGGGCCCATACCCCTCATTTTTCTTGCGTTCTATTTTTTCCTCCCTGATAATTTTTGTCATTTTGTGTTTAGTAAACAGTCATAATTCACTTTTACATCATTTATCTTTATCTTTTAGAATTAAACAGACTGTGCCTTTAATACTGACATATTTAAATGAGCTACATTCTGATTGGCTGTTCCATATTTGTGTTTCAATCAAAAAGCAGCCCAGGCTGAAACACTACTTATAGCTACGACATGAATGGGCGGGGCCTGGACGATTTTTTGGCGGATAGATGAAAATGTGTTGGTTTTTATGACATCACAAAAACATCAAATTAATAAATTAAAAATGGGAAGCTTAGTTTCCATATATGGGCTGTCTGGACAGTGAAACCTTAACAATGTGTTAATACTACAACAAAAAAGTGAGGAAGACTCCATAATATGGGCCCTTTAATTTGAGGATACACGAGTACAAGAAATAACAGGTTCAGGAATTATACATTTAATTATTAGAAAAGAAGAACTAAACATCTCCACATCCTGGAAATGAGTTAATTAATATGTAATGTTGACGTCTCTGCACACAGAACATGAGATGAATCTGAGTATTGAGTGGCTGTTAGTGCAGTTATTAATCCTCTGCTCTCTGTTTACTGGTGTTCTCATATCATCCTGCGTCGGTGAGGCTGATGCTGAGCTACAGGCTGTGAATCTGCTGTGCTGTTGTCAGATATTAAAGGGTAGAGCAGCGCCGGGTCCGTCTGAGCTGCGTCTGAATCTGTAATGCACTTTTAATGGCTGTTTACTGGAAACGAGCGCAGCTGATCTGAAGAAGCTGCAGAGCCGGTTTAGAGGCAGAGATTCTGCAGGGAAACATGATGTTACAGGTGTGCTCTGTTAGTAGCAGGCAAGGTGTGAAACACAGAGCGTTCCGGAATCCCCTAATTAACCCCTGAATATCTCAAAATCCAAATTCTGGAGGTCCCTGAAAATAAGGTTCTGCTGTCTCAGACACTCAAACACTTAACAGACACTCAAATCCAGACTCAGTGAAGCTGATTGTTTATCTGCTTCCCCCACAATCAGCTTCTGTCTCTGGTGTTCTTAACTAACTAGAGCTGCAGCACTGCTCTGCCTCAGGGTGGCGCTGTAGCAGACTGGTTCACCCAGTTGGTCTGTCATAGTCTAGAAACTGTAACTCTGCCCGGATTCCTCTGAAAAACTTTACAATGAGCTGCAGCAGATCTGTAAATCTGAAAACTCGCCCAGTTTCCCAAGAGTTTGGAGTGAAGAGTGACTGTTCCTCATTTCTCACACTGAAGACAGAAGAGGAGACGAGGAAGATCTCAGTTACTGTGAGGAAGAGCGCAGAACCGCACTAGAACAGAGACTCTACAGAAGAGGAGACGAGGAAGATCTCAGTTACTGTGAGGAAGAGCGCAGAACCGCACTAGAACAGAGACTCTACAGAAGAGGAGACGAGGAAGATCTCAGTTACTGTGAGGAAGAGCGCAGAACCGCACTAGAACAGAGACTCTACAGAAGAACAGCTGATAAAACAGACATTTACTGACACTGAAGCATCAGCGCCACTATGGAGAGAGAGTTAGCAGACAGACAACACGGGACCCCCGATACCAGGGGGGATTCACACATTGGTAGCAGGTACATCTAGTGATGCACTGATCCGATACTCTGGATCTGACTGGCACCGATACTGACCTTATTAAACAAATTGTATATCCACCAGACGTGTCCAATATAGGGATGGGCAATAATTACGTATGTAAATTCTAAACATTTTAAATATTTAATATGCAAATATTGCATATTTCATTACAAAGAGAGCATAATTAGTGCTCTTTAATTGTCATTTTTGCAGTGCAGGATGTGAAATGTTGATTGCAAATCATTTTATTCATTGTTTTTCGTAGTATTTTATTCAAATGTGGCACGTCTGGTTCTTTTTTCCCATCCAGCTTAACAGATATCAGAAACATAAATATCATAGCATATTGATTATCATGAAAATTACTTGAAGTATCATGATATTATATTTATGCCATATCGCCCAGCTCTAGTCTGATACCGTCTTTTAGCCATGGTTGTGAACACTAAGTAAATAAAGAGCATGTGTCGTTTAACCGGGGGTGTTCAAACTTGCACATACGACTGTATTAATTATTGATAATTATTGATAGTAAGTGGTATTGTGATTATTTCTGTCCATATCGCTCAGCTCAGTCCAGTCTGGAGCGAATCTCACCGCAGACGCTTCGCTGGTATTATTTCTGTTTTGCGATGATGTTGATGCCACACGATCGCCCACCTCACGTCTCGCTTAGCCACACTGTCTGTCTGTGTGTCGGTTCTGAATGTAATTAATTGCAGTGTTTGTCCATTAGTGCTGATGGCTGACGGGGAGAATAGTACAGATGTTTTTACAGGTCCTGATTAGTGGAGATGCATGTTTTGAGTGCTGCTGCAAATGGGATTTAATTTAGAAACACTTTCACTGTTTCACACAACGGGAAAATTAATTGTTTTATTTTTTGTGGTTGTTGTAGAGAGACAGTAATTAAGCTGCTGATTAAATGAGGACAAATTCAGAGAACAGAGCACCTTTCAGATCAGGTATTATTAATAATCTAACAAGGGCTGCACTATATATCCACCCATTCAGCCTACTGCGGTTTAGCCCCGCCCATTCACCCTACATCTGTTTAGCTCTGCCTATTCAGCCTATTGCAGTTTAGCCCCGCCCATTCAGCCTACATATGTTTGGCCCCGGCCATTCACCCTACATCTGTGTAGCCCCGCCCATTCAGTCTACTGCCGTTTAGCCCCGCCCATTCACCCCACATATGGTTGGCCCCGCCCATTCAGCCTATTGCATCTTAGCCCCACCCATTCAGTCTACAGTTTAGTCCCGCCCATTCAGCCTACAGAAGTTTAGCTCCACCCATTCAGCCCACAGCAGTTTAGCCCCACCCATTCAGCCTACAGCAGCATAGCCCCACCCATTCAGCCTACAGCAGCATAGCCCCACCCATTCAGCCTACAGCAGTTTAACCCCACCCATTAAGCTTTAAGCACTTTAGTCCCACCCATTCAATCTACAGCAGTTTAGCCCCGCCTATTCAGCCTACAGAAGTTTAGCCCAATTCATTCGACCTACAGTAGTTTAGCCCCACCCATTTAATCTACAGCAGTTTAGCCAAAGTTACTGGAGTGGAAGCCAATCAGAACAGAGTTCATTTGCATGTATCAGTCTTAAGCTCACAGTAACCAAAGTGGTTTGACTGTAAGGAGTAAAGGAGGAAAATCGCCGTGTATGAATTCTGAAATGAATTCTGAAATGAATTCTGCCTGTTTTTGGTAAATAAACCCACAGAATGTTATAAATGAACCTCAGGGGGTAAAAATGTAGCAGATGGTCCCTTTAATGCATTTCTGATGCCCATCACTGAGGCAGTGGAGCAGACCGGCCGGTGTTCAGATTAGATTAGCTGACTTGCGGCTCTGTTTCCTGAACAGTTTTGCTCCTGCAGATCAATAACTCTTCACACCGTGACCTCTGACCTCTTGGAAAAGTGTCCAGTCATCCCGAGTGCCCACCTACTGCTCTTTAACAGTCTGACCCCTGAGTGACTTTTCCATCACTGAGAGGCTGATGATGTAACAGCGTTCAACTCCTGTTTCCTGACTGATCTTCCCCTCTGTATTATTAATGAGGAGGGTGAGGCCCCCTGCAGGTGGACAGAGGAACCGCAGCTCTTTATAGAAAACTAACGGTGGCCAGTAATTTGTAGAATTTTTATAATATGTTATTTTATGATTTGTGAATGGAAGAACAGATTTACTCTCTGGTTCTGTTATCCAGACACTTAAAATATGGCTCTTCAAAGGTTCTGTAGTAAAGACAGTGGTTCTATTGAGAGGCATGAGTTCTATATAGAATCATCTGCATGCTTAAATGGTTCTCTGCATGGTGAAATTGTTATTCAGATTGATGGAGAATGTGGTGTATATGGATCTATATAGAACTTTTTTGAAAATGGTTCTATATGTCATGAAAAAGGGTTCTTCTGTTCTTCTGTATCAATAGCAGAACCCTTTTTGGTGCTATATAGAACCATATACAACACATTCTCCATCAATCTGAAGAATTATTTTACCATGCAAAGAACCATTTAAGCATGCAAATTGTTCTATGAGTATTCATGGTTCTATACAGAACCGTTGTTTTTACTAAAGAACCCTTGAAGAACCATCTTTTTTAAGAGTGTAGTCAGTCAGGATGGTGTGTTTTTAGAGGCAAAGCACTCGTGGACCTGGCGGGTAACTTACTCACTCATGTGTAGCAGGCTGAAGGTCCTCCACAAGGGGGCACTGTTAAGGCCCCAGTAGCCTTTTTGTGCTTTCTAAGAGTGTTTACACCGACAGAGTTTTTATACACTCAACGGAGCATCTTTTCTTTCTGTGTAGAAGCGTTTTTTAGTCCAGCAGAATGAACAGCGTTCTAACTGAACAGTGTCCATGATTTCCAAAAAGAATTTCAAATGTTAATTTGTTGGTCTACAGGACACTTTTCGACTTCCCCTCAGTTCATCTTAAATGAGCTCAGGCCCAGAGAAGGTGGCAGCGTTTCTATATCCTGTTTATATTTGGTTTCTTCTTTGTGTTTTAGAGTTTTAACTTGCATTTGTGGATGCAGTGATGAACTGTGTTCACAGACAGTGGTTTTCAGAAGTGTTTCTGAGCCCATGCAGTGATTTCCACTACAGAATCATGTCTGTTTTTAATGCAGTGCTGCCTGAGAGCCCAAAGATCACGGCCAGCAAATACTGGTTTTTGGCCTTGACCCTTATATACAGAGATTTCTCCAGATTCTCTGAGTCTTTTAATGATATTATGTTTCCGCAGATGATGGAAAGCAGAAGTTCTTTGCTGTTTTATGTTGAGAAACGTTCTTCTTGAATTGTTGCACTATTTGATGGTGCAGTCTTTCACAGAGTGGTGAACCCCTCCTCATCTTTACTTCTGAAAGACTCCGCCTCTCTGAGATGCTCTTTATACCCAATCATGTTACTGACCTGTTGCCAATTAACCACCAGGTGTTTTTATAGCATTACACAACTTTACCAGTCTTTTGTTCCCCCGTCCCAACTTTTTTGGAACGTGTTGTTGGCATCAAATTCAAAATGGGCAAATATTTTTCAAAAAACAATAAAATTTCTCAGTTTAAACATTTGATATGTTGTTTTTGTAGTTTTCAATGAAATATAGGATTTAAATGATTTGCACATCATTGCATTTTGTTTTTATTTACATTTTGCACAGCGTCCCAACTTTCTTGGAATGGGGTTGTACAGTAAGGAAGCTGTTTTTAACGCTGTATCAGCCTCCAGTGTGGAGGTGCTTCACATCACTGACGCTTTGTGTCCCTGTCAGATGTTAAACTGAGCTGTTTTCTCTCAGATCACTCCAGCTGCTGGTCTGGTTTCTATCCTGAAGAGAAGAGCCTCTCTGGAGGGGACGAGCTCCACCACACCGACTCCAAAACCCGCCAGCAAACGCAAAGTCCGCTTCAGAGTTCCTGACGACGGCCTGGACAACGGTACATCTTTACCCTCATAGAATACTTAATTATCATAATATATACACAGAGATACACAGAGATACACAGAGATACACAGAAATACACAGAGATACACAGAGATACACAGAGATACACTGACCAGTTCTTCTCCTTGTGTCTACACTCACTGTCCATTTTATCCGCTCCAGTTACCATACGTTGTAGCTCTACAATTCAATCAATTAATCAATCAATCAACCTTTATTTAATCTTGGAGAACATTGAAGGTGACCCTCATCGCCGGGTTGTTACAGAACAAGGGATTGATAATGTGTAAGAACATTTCAAACAATAAAAGTAATTTAATTAAAAAAAGACTCAAATCAGGTAAGTATTAAAAATGAAACATTAATAATAAAAATACATAAAAATACAGTAAAAACATAAAACAATAATTAAAATGTAGATAAAAGGTAAAAGTTAATAAAGTCAAATCAAAATAAAATAAAAGGAGAATAAGATCAAAAAGTAAACTAAAAATTAATTAAAATGATGTAAATAATAATAAAATAATCATAATTAAAATAAGAATATGAATAATAAATAAACAAACAAATAAATAATAAAATAATGAAAATAAGATCATAATGGTAAAAAATCAGGTAAAACAGTGTCAGGCAGAGTGGAGGTGGTCAGAGAGTAAAAGTTTAAAATGACCGAGTGACCCAGCGAGCTGAGCTTTACTGTGGTCCATCTGTTGACTCTGTTAGCCCCCCATCACCCTGTTCTTCAGTGGTGATCTCCATATATTATTATTCTAAAATGGTGAAAATAGAGAAAAACCCTTCATAAGCAGGTGTGTCCAAACCCTTATATGCAACTGAACACCAAAAATGTGGCTTCATGGTATTTGGTAGTGAAAAACATGAAGGCTGTGAAAATGTTTTTAATAAATGACCATCATTAGATAACAAACTACCATTTCAGATAGAAAGCTGTTTAGATCTTGTTTCTCTTTAGAAGAAAAACCCTGCAAAACAGCTGCTGAATGTCCCACACTGGGGGGAAAAAGCTGAAGGCCACGCCTATTTTCTCCTCTTGCTGTGATGTCACTCATCAGCACTCAAACCTTTCAGGTGTTTAAACCACTTTTAGACCAAAAGAGGTATAAATGAGCTTTTAACAACAGTTTGGAAAAGATTGTTTTTATTAAAAATTGTAATTATTAGTGATGGTGCATCACATGCATTATGGGATACCATAGCAATGACTTACACCAACTGGGCAAGCATAGCAACCACCGAGCCATACCGTAGCAACCAAATGGGGTACCATAGCAACACCTTAGCAACCACCAGCTACACCCTAGCAACCATCTTGGATACCATAGCAATGACCTAGAATCAGCTTAGCACCTACTTGGGCTACAATAGCAACCATCTAGCAGCACTTTAGCAACCACTTGGGATACTATAGCAACACCCTAACAACCACCTGGGATACCATAGCAACCACCTAGCTACACATTAGCAACCATTTTGGGTACCATAGCAACCACCTAGAAACACCTTAACAACTACTTGGGATATCATAGAAATCACCTACGAACACCCTAACAACCACCTAAAATACCATAGTAACTGCATGGCAACACCCTAGCAACCAAGGGAGTTTCTACTACTTCATTATGTGTAATTCATGTCTGTCTTATCGATTATGCAGAAGAGGTGGGCGGAGACCCCTGGTTGCTCCTCCTCCTGCTGTGCCTGGCCACCGTGGTGATCAGTGTGGGCGGGACTGCGCTGTACTGCACCTTCGGCGACGCCCAGTCAAGCGTGTGCACGGATTTCTCCCACAATATGGACTTCTACGTAGGTCAGGTTCAGCGGGGGGTGGACGAGCTCCGGCACTGGCTGACCCGCGGCTCGTAGCAGGAGGACAGAGGAGCAGCGCAGAGGGACCCAAACGCCTCTCCGGATAAAAACGCGTAGGTACTCTACTGTTATTACCGCCGTAATACTGTCACGGACAAAAAAACGAACATTTTATAACAGTTCTTTGATTTTGACTTTAAATAAGAGGACTGAACACTGAAATTCATAGCTGGACACTGTAATATACCCATTTTCCTCAAATGTAGCAGAGGAGCTACGATGCTAATGTGGCTAACAATATGAAATATATAAAAATGGACAAAAGTCTGGACAAAATTCTGCTGCCATCTGACTGTGCTAATGTACATTGGTCCATGTTTATAGATTACAGTGTGTCAGAAACCACATAATGAAGTCTATCAGAGATACTTAAAGAGCCCATATCCTACATTTTTCCACATAAGAATCCACTTATAAAAACAGAGAGATCAGATCAGTCCTGTTTTAAAAGAGCTGCACTGGCTGTTCTGTATCGTTCAGGATAGAGTTTAAAGCTCTGATACCAGTTTTTAAAGCTCTAAATGACCTTAAAGCACCGCTTACATCACAGTGTGTCTGTCTGTTTATGTTCCAGTATGTAATCTAAGATCTGCAGATTCTGACCTTCTACAAACACCCTCAGTAAAACACAGAAAACGTGGAGAGACTCTTTCAGTTATTCTGCTTCTAAACTGTGGAGCTCAGTTCAGCTTTTATTAGACAGTCGAGCTCAGAGCTCACTTTTAATAAACACCTGAAAACACAGCTCTTTAACTCAGAGCTTCAGTAAAACTCTACGGCTCTTTGTGTTTGTCTTCTAATTTGATTTTTCATTTTCTTATGATTCTAAATTAATACTTATAATTTCTGGTATAACTGTTATTTATCACCTGTCTGTAAAGCAGTTTGAGCTGCCACCAGCATGAAGAGTGCTATGTAAATAAAAATGATCATTATTATTATTATTATTATTACATTTGTGTTTTTTATGTACCAAAAACAGTCAAAATTCATTTCTACCTGACCCTTTTCCAACCTCTCTTAGAATTAGAATTAAACAGGCTGTTTTTGTCATGGTACCTTTAAGACTGATATATGTAAATGAGCTCAGTCATGATTGGCTGTGCATTGTTCAAAATCAGTGCAGGCTGAAACACTCCTTATAACTTCAGTGTGAATGGGCGGTGCTAGTCTGCTGTAGGCTGAATAGGTGGATATATTTAAATGCCTTGTGACATCACAAAAACAGTGAATTCAAAATGAGCTCAGTTTCCGTATATGGACTGGGTTCGTTTTGGAGCTTGTAATTTCTAGATACTTTGTCAAATTCTTATTTAAAAACGTTTTTATACGATATGGGCTCTTTAACAGCTCTGCATGGTTTGAGGCCAGTGTGTGGTGGTTTGGGTGCACAGTTAGCTCCATGCTAATGGTGTGAAGTAGTGTAAATTTGTTTTCTGTTAGATTGTCGCTTTAAAGGAGTCTCATCCTCTCTCTTCCGTTTTCCTCACAGCTGCCTCCGCCGCCCCTGAAGGTTCGTGTGTCGCTCTCATGAACACCAAGCTGAAACGATCAATTACAGCACTAACTCTGAGACATCAGCACGGCTTCCAGGTCTGTCTGAGCCACTTCCTGTGTCCGTATATGGCGAGACGAAGCATTCTGCACACCACAGGAACCTGCGGAGGCTGGACATAACGGCCGTGTGTCCCGTCAGGGTCAACCGAAGCCTTCCACGCAGGGAACTGGACAAAAAAACACACCCGGCCATGAGGAGGCCTCCTGAAGGAGCAGGGAATCTCTCAGCCAGTGTAGCTCAGTGTTTACTGCCGTCAACTTCACCTCATGTACAGAGACCGAGTTTTTAAAGTCTTAAATACGGAGTCTTAACCTTTGATTCGTGGCATTTCCCATTCTTTCAAAGCTGGATCACCATCGCGACACTAGAGAAGGTGCTGACTACAGCGGTGGTTCTCAACTGGTAGCAGGCACTGAGTGGGTTGTGGGTACATCAAAAAATCAAACTTTTATTATCATTATTATTATTATTATTACTATTATTATTATTATTATTATTATAATTTTAAGTAATTTTGATGAAAGGCATCAGGTGGGCTTTCAGTGGTACGCTTTTATTTTGAAAGGCATCCTAGGCTGTGTCCAAAACTTACTACTAAATAAATAATATATATATACACACACATATATATATATATTACATGTAATAATATATTAGTTAAGCGTATATATAACATTATATATTTAGTATATGTAACAGTATATTATTTAGTGCATACATACCAAACCTAAACTACTATAATACACATTCTAAACTAATGTAAACACTTCTAATGGTGGTGTAATATCTTCAACATGCTAGTTTTTACAGCATTTGCTTCGTGAAACAGTCATATTTCATCAGATTTTCTATAATATTAGCAAAAATAAAATAGCTCCACTCATGTAAATCATTATATAGCATTGTTTACTTTACAATAGCTACAATAATGCTAACTTCCGCTAGCGGATTTTCAGTGCTGTGGTGTTCAGTGGTTCCCCAACTCTTTTATTTTTTTTAAATTAGGAAAGTTCACTCGATATTGGCCCTTTAACAGCTCCACATGGGTTGAGGCAGGTGTGTGATGTTTGGGCCTGCGGTTAGCACCAGAGCTGGTGTATGAGGAGTCTGGCCAATCCCTATTTCCCCGTTATATCAAAAACAGGACGGCTAAACAGCAGAGGGCGCCCCCGAGTGAGTCCTCAATGAATGGGAGTGAATGGAGCTCAACGGCTAAAAATGAGAAGTTAAAATAGTTTCTAATCACCGAACCAGAACTTTCCTTTAGTTTTAGACAGTAGAAGGATGGGTTTCACTAAAAAAGCAAAGAAAACTCACCTGAATGTTTCCTTTATTCTACAGCAAGCCGGTTTTGGGCAGCAGGAGGCGGGCTTTACTGCTAGAGCGTGATGATTGATTGGCGAGCGGAGCAGCTCATTGGCTGTTCGCGCTCACTGACATCATGAAAGTACGTGAGGCGCCGTTTTAAATTCCTATAACTCGAGTTTAAAAGCTCTTAAAAATATAACAGCAGTGTTAAAACGTTTTATGCTGTTCAGGAAATTAATTTATTATTTTACATTAAAAATGTTTCAGCATTTATAAACTATGATTTTGCTCAAAAGCTCCATATCAACCCATTCATTTTGGACTCACTCGGGAGCGCCCTCTAGCGTCTGAGAAAACCGGAAGACATTGCAGAGTGTAATTCTCATCTCTACAAGTTCTCTGTTAGCACCATGCTAACTGCTGAGGTATAAGCTTTCATTGTTGGCTACATTAGCCTTGTAGCTCCAGCGCTAAAACTAAAGGAGCAAACTTCAGACACTAAAACCATCTCGGCTCAGTGAGAGGATGTATTCATGATTTTTTGAAGTAGAAAATATGCTGTTGATTTTTAGAGATCACCCACGTCTACGACTCAGTGCTGTTTTTGTTCTGGTTTAGCTGCAGAGCGCGTCTGTATTTTCCACCATCTTTGTTCATGCTGCGTTACTGCAGCGTCCAAAACCACTCAAGCCTTAACACTGTTTTTCTCTGATACGTTTACATTCATAGCAGGTAGAATAGCATGCAAATCCAGCATGGAGTGTAAAATACAGCCATAAATATAAACAGGCTGTATGAACATTTATGATCTATTTTATTATTATAATTATTATTATTTATTATCGACTGCTGTAAAATGCGTGATAGTGTCAGTCAGTGTGATGGAGTCTGCGCATGCACTGCAAGTCAGAGGGTGCAGATCAAGTACACTCTCAAAACGATGGTTCCTCAAGGGTTCTTTAGTAAAGACAGTGTTTCGATGTAGAAGCATTAACACTCTAAGAACCCATTACATGGTTAAATGGTTCTTTGCATGGTTAAATGGTTCCTCAGACCGATGGAGAATGTGTTTTATATGGTTCAGTTTGGAACCTTTCTGAAATGGTTCTATATAGTACAAAAAAGTGTTCTTCTGTTGTTACAAGCTTGACATCGGAACAATAGCAGAACCCTTTTTGGTCTTATATAGAACCATATACAACACTTTCTTCATCAGTCTGAAGAACCATTTCACCATGCAGAGAACCATTTAAGCTTGCACATAGTTCTTTGAGTGTTCATGGCTCTATATAGAACTCATTCGCTTTACTAAAGAACCCTTGAAGAACCTTTTTAATTTGAATTTTAACAATTCAGGTAAACTGGCTCCTCAACTGGCTCCTCTCAGTGTGGAGGAGTAGCAGCTCTGCTCTGAGCTCCTCCCGGATGACCGAGCTCCTCACCCTGTCAGTAGAGAGTAGCAGCCACCCTGCGAAGAGGCTCATTTCCGCCGCTTGTCTTCGTGATCTTCGGTCATTACCCACAGCTCATGACCACAGGTGAGGGTCGGGATGTAGACTGACTGGTAAACAGAGAGCTTTGCCTTATGGCCCCGCTCCCTCTTCACCGCTACAGTCCGGTACAGTGACCGCATTACTGCTGCCGTCTGTCCCAGCCTGCAGCCGATCTCACAAGACCCCAAGATACTAAACTCCTCCACCTGGGGCAGCTCCTCTCCCCTCACCTGGAGTGGACATGCCATCCTTTTCCAGGCTTCATTCTAAACCAGACAAAATCATTTATCACAGTTGCGCTTGGAGTTCTCAAAAAGCGGGTTGCATAATAAAGCTTGGCTGGCGTTATCGGCTCACTGAGGCTAGCCTAGCCAAACGCAGGCCGATGTTTTCTGAGTGGCCACTTCTGTGTAATAGTTAAAGTATAGTTCAGAGTGTTTTACAGTATTGGGGATAGCATGGATAACACAGCCAGGAAAACTACATTAATAAAAAACATGGCATTTTGAGGACATTGAAGACACGACACTAAATAAACACTAAATACTGCTTTTATTACACTGAGGACAGAATAGAGAGCCAGGAACCTTCCGTGGTGAGATAATGGCATATACAAAACAGAACTACACCTTTTTTTAATTTTCTGCATAATTGATGGTTAAGATGTAATCAGAGTGGTTCAGAGCGGTTTGGTCTGAAACGCTCCGTTCTAGATAAACTTACCGAGTCAGAACTGTTCACAGTGGTGGTGATAGGAACCAGACGTCCACCTATAAAAGCTAGTAATGATAATGATAGTTTTAAGAACTTAAACACAAAATAGTCCCAAAGAAAACTTATTATTTCAGGTTTCTCCACTATTTTCCATCATCAACATTCCATATAAACTCAGAAGACTCGTGTAGGTTCACTGGTGGTTCTGGATAGTAAATAAAATGTCTATATTTGTGTTGTAGTCATGGCGACCCCTGGTTCCTATCACCACCACTGTAAAGACATCTGGACCATTTCACACCAAACCACTCTGAATCTCTCTGATTACACCTCACACACTGAGTTATGGGGGACATTTTAAAATCTCCTTTAATAATAGAGGCTAAAAGTGGGTTTTGCCTCAGGACCAGTTGAGAACCACTGAACTGAACCATCTGTAGTGATGATTCACGTTAAAGGCTGAGATCGTAAGGAGCAGGAAAGCAATATGTGTGAACTGAAGAATGTTTATAATGTAAAGATTATAGGAAGAATACAAAAACAGGTATATTGTATTATTTAATAGCATCTGCTCAGGCATGTGAGGATATCGTCACTGTTGTGGTTAATGTGGTTTATCGTCAAAAGAACGCTCTGTTTTATTATTACCTCTTGTGTTAAATGGCCTTGTTTTTACGTTTTAATTGTTTTTCATATTGTTGTCCTGTTTTTTCTGCAATCTGGAAAGTTTCTCCTCCCGAGCACAACGTCAGTGTGACTTTCTACAGAAATACAGGGATTTGTCTTAAAAACAAATCAATCAAAACTGAAAAATTTACAGATTTATCCCGGACTAGCTGGGCTGCTGTCTTCTCTTTAAGTTTAAACAAGTATTGGGAAAGAAGAGAAACATTATACGATTCTTATTATTATTAAAGTCAGTTATTTTATCTTTTAAGTGGTCGCCTGGCGGGTTCAGATGACCGAGTTATGTGAATTTTCAGTATTTATTTAATGTAGGAATCACTGAATACCTTTCAAATCTAAATCATAACACGCATGTCCTCTCCGTTCAGCCCTGGACGTGGTGTAGGAATCAGTAACGCGTGATTTCTCTGTAACGTAACATCTGTAGAGCAATTAATCCTCTCCAGGCTCCACCCACAAACACGTTCTTTCATAGTGACTGTTGCTAGGTTGGACAAACTTAAAAGAGCGCTGTTAAAAATCCCATTCAGCCTAATGAGAAACTGTAGAACAGACTCAGTTTATATCACAATACCTACATTTAGAGTCGGTTATTTGTTTCTTATTAATTTATGTGTGAAACATACAGATCAGTTTGTTTTGGTGTGTATTTGGGGTTTTTATACACTCATAGGATTGATACGCTAAACAGGAATTCCTTCAGCTTCATGTCGTGACGCTTATCTCAGCTAGTTAGCAACGTTAGCAATCCGTTAGACAAAACTGGACAAACTTAAAAGAGTGCTGTTAAAAATCCCATTCAACCTAAGAGTTAGAGTAACTTTAGCCATGCTGTGGTCCTCAGCACTGTAGGCTATGCCGCTAACTTACCCAGTTAGCAACATCAGCAAATCTCTATGATGATTTAGCTAATTAGCAACATTATCAAATCCATTAGTGTAAGTTTGGCCATGCTACAGTGGCTAGTGTTACAGGCTACACTGCTACCGTAGCTCGTTAGCAATATTAGCAGATCTCTTGGAGTAACTTTAGCGATGCTAGCCCCATGTTCTGTGATGCTAACTGACCGAGTTAACCGCACTAAAACAGCTGAAGCTGCTTAACTTTCTGCTTAGCCTATTAAAGGGTCATTCTACAGAAATGTCCACTTTCCTATCTGTCCATAGGAGTCACTGGTGTTACTGATCCTCACTGGTGTTCCACATAATAAAGGAACACCAGAGACATTTTTAATGAACAATGCATTTTACAGAATGGCTGCTACAGAGCATCAAACCACATGTTGTCAATCATGGAATATCCACTAAAATATGGAATTTAATCCATTTGTATTCTATTTTTTCACAATTACCTCAGAATAAAGTCGGTCACACCAGTGACTTCAGCTAAAAGCTTCATATGAAATCAGGAGCTAAATGAGAAAATCTCTGATAACTGAAAGACTCAGTGGACTCACCATGAGCTTTTCTTCATAGATCCTCAGAAAACAGGTAAAAGGAAGTCAAGTGATGTCATCAGTGTGACTTTTATTTCAAAATAAGAGATTTTTTGTTACGCAGTAACACCAGTGACACGACTCCTGGGGAACTTTCATTATATATTTTATATTTATTTGGCATTTGTTTCTTTATGTAATGTAATTCATATATTCCATAGTCATGTATAGATTATTGCAGTTAAAATTGCAGAAAAATGTTTTTTCTTCAAAACATGGCCTCAGCCTTCACACATGACTGTGAGGACGAGCTCTTCTGTGGTGCTTGGAATTCTATATGATTGATTTATAAACCAATATTGCTAAATTGAGGTGTAATTGATAGAAGGTGTAATTGATAAAATAACTTATTGTTTTATTTGAAAATATAAATAAATTGTAACCCGAACATGTTTTTAAGTGTAATATATCTGTAAACGCTAGGGACACAAAAATGGACGTTTCTGTAGAATGACCCTAATCCCTTAAAACTCTAGAAATCAATAACTCGCTTCTGTGATATAAACATTGTGTTCTACAGTTT